GGTGTGAGCAGAGCTAGGCTGATTGTATTTAATTCTTTATTCATTCCTTTCTGCCCTGCCCTGCCTTTCTCCCCAACGGGGCCCCAAAGCAGCTTACATTGTCCTCTTATCTTCCGGTCTCTCCTCACAACAACCCTGTGAGGTAGGTTAGGCTGAGTGTGTGTGACTGGGCCATGGTCACCCAGTGAGCTTCATGAAAGTGGAGATTCGAACTTGGGTACACCTGTGGCCAAAGACTTGAGGCTTACTCTTAGTTTTCCCCTCTGCACAAGGGGAGTAATGGTGACTTGCCTCAGAGTCAGGTGGGGTAGCCGTGCTGCTCTGAAGCAACAGAACAAAGTTTGAGTCCAGGGGCACCAGTTTGCTGTGGTGGTTAAGTGTGCGGACTCTAATCTGGGAGAACCGAGTTTGATTCCCCACTCATCAACTTGCAGCTGTTGGATGACCTTGGGCAAGCCATAGTTCTGGCAGAGCTGTTCTTGAAAGACCAGTTTCTCTCAGAGCTCTCTCAGCCCCACCTACCTCACAGGGTGTCTGTTCTGGGGAGGGGAAGGGAAAGGAGTTTGTCAGCCGCTCTGAGACTCTAAGTGAAGGGCGGGGTATAAATCCAATCTCCTCCTCCTCCTCCTCCTCCTGGTGTCATGGTTAAGTGCGCGGACTCTAATCTGGGAGAACCGGGTTTGATTCCCCACTCCTCCGCTCGCAGCTGCTGGATGACCTTGGGCAAGCCATAGTTCTGATAAGAGCTGTCCTTGAAAAAGAGCAGTTTCTGTCAGAGCTCTCTCAGTCCTGCCTACCTCACAAGGTGTCTGCTGTGGGGAGGGGAAGGGAAAGGAGTTTGTAAGCCGCTCTGAGACTCCTTTGGGTAGTGAAGGGCGGGGTATAAATCCAATCTTCTTATTCAAGCCCAATGAAGTTTTATTCAGGGTATAAATTTTCAAATGTGCGTGCTCACAAACGCTGATACCCAGAATTAAATTTTTGTTGCTCTTCAAGGTGCCACTGGACTCAGACTTTGTTCTTTTGCTTCAGAGTGTTATAAGAAGGGCAGACTCAAAACAAAATATATGTAAAGTGTTGTCTGAATCAGACATCCATTTCCCCCAGAATGTCTGGGGGTTGTTTCTTTATTTAGAGAATATGATTTGCTGTCTTTTCAGAGGTTTCCTCAAGGTTGCTCACAAAGTAGAATCAGTGCAATAAAATCATAAAAACAAGAATCATCCACGATCAAACAAACTCGGGCATAAAAATGGCACAAAACAAGATTCATAGCATACAACGTTTCTAACTATCATCATAAGCTGCCCTGAACCACGAGGAAAGGCAGGATAAAAACGTTTAAATAAATATGTTGTCGAAGGCTTTCACGGCAGGAGTTCAGCAGCTGTTGCAGATTTTCCGGGCTGTATGGCCGTGGTCTTGGCATTGCAGGACCTGACATTTTGCCAGCAGCTGTGACTGGCATCCTCAGAGGTATAACACAGAAAGAAGGAGTAATCTCTGTGTCAAGGTGAAAAGAAAAATGGTAGGCAGGTAATTTATATCTACTCAGGAAGGTGGGGTAGGGTAGATATAAATTACCTGCCTACCATTTTCTTCTCACCTTGACACAGAGAGTGCTCCATCTTTCTGTGTTATACCTCTGAGGATGCCAGTCACAGTTACTGGCAAAAATGTCAGATCCTGCAGTGCCAAGACCATGGCCATACAGCTCGGAAAATCTGCAAGAGCTATTTTAAATAAATACATTGAAAGAAAAACCATACCCATGCAGTAGTTCTTATGTTATAAGCAGAGCATAAAACCGGGTTAAAAAGTTGGAATCTCTCAAAGAGAAACGTTTTTGGGCTGGTGGCTGAAGGACACTGAAGACAGGCATCAGGTGAGCATCCAAGAAGTGTGGTGCTCCCACCGAAAAGGCCCTGTTGCCACTGGCTTCACCTCTGCAGGCGAGGCTGCAGAGAGTAGGTCTTGCAAGGAGGCTCTCAGCTGGTGGTATGTAGAGGGGGAGGTCTTTCAGGTTATTTACGGTCACCCAGCTCTTTGAATCATGTCTGGAAACACATGAGAATCCAGCCTGCGAAAAAGAATCTTTCGGCCCCGGAACACTACGATCTCCGTTTCCAGCTCCCCACAACAGCCAGTTTGGTGTAGTGGTTAAGTGTGCAGACTCTAATCTGGGAGAACCGGGTTTAGTTCCCCACTCCTCCACTCACACCTGCTGGATGACCTTGGGCAAGCCATAGTTCTGTCAGAGCTGTTCTTGAAAAAGAGCAGTTTCTGTCAGCGCTCTCTCAGCCCCACCTACCTCCCAGGGTGTCTGTTGTGGGGAGGGGGAAGGGAAAGGAGTTTGTAAGCCGCTCTGAGACTCCTTTGGGTGGCGAAGGGCGGGGTATAAATCCAACCTCTTCTTCTTCTTCTACCTGGCTGAATTTTCTGGATTGTGTTCGAAGGCATGAGGGTGGCAGGGGGAGGAGGAGATGGGATATGGGCTCTTGACGTCTCCCCCGTCTCTCTCGGCAGTGCCATTTCCGTGGAGCTGTACTACATCTTTGCCACGGTGTGGGGCCGGGAGCAGTACACCCTCTACGGCATCCTCTTCTTCGTCTTCGCCATCCTCCTCAGCGTCGGGGCCTGCATCTCCATCGCCCTCACCTACTTCCAGCTGTCGGGTGAGGACTACCGCTGGTGGTGGCGGTCCGTGCTGAGCGCTGGCTCCACCGGCCTCTTCATCTTCCTCTACTCCGTCTTCTACTACTCGCGGCGCTCCAACATGTC